TGAATTGTACGTTTTACAAAATAGCTCTAATGCTCTGAAATGCCTGTATCCTTCAGTCTGTTTAACAGGAGAGCTGTGGCTTTGCACATCTGATTGAGATGGATGTGCCCACTGCTGATGATTGCTGTTTGAAGAGCACTACAAATAACTACTCTTCTTTTGGAGCCGAGTACTTGTGTTTACCTGTTCCTTAGCAACTGTGTTCAGAACTGCAGGAGCATGAGACTGATTTTTTTGAAAGAATCATATTTGTATTATTACTGTTATTATGGTTTTGTACAAAAAAATGGTTTATGGTGGTAGTCTTTATATGTGATGCTTGTTTTTACTTTCTATATGATGTAATGTGTGTTATTTGTTCATAAACCATAAAGTGTGTAGAAATAGAGATAGACAGTTGCTGCTTAAAAAAATAAATAAAAAAATTCTGGTCTAGGATCAGATTCCCTGTCAATTCCAAATATTCATTGCTAATGAGTAGGGAAAAATTGACTCTGACATGCAGTGGATTGAGGATTTTACATTTTATCATCTTGTAATTATTATGTTCTATTACATTTTGACAACATTGATGAAATCATGTGTAGTTTAAAGTTATATATATATATATATATATATATATATATATATATATATATATATATATATACACATATATATATACACATATATATACACACATATATATACACACATATATACACACATATATACACACACACACACACACACACACACACACACTATACTACACTATGCTATAATAGTATATTTTCTTATGATTTTTAGATATTTTTATATATTTTATATACTTTTTATTTTTATATTTATAATTTATAGTTTAAATTAAAATTATCCTATCATAGTATATTTTCTTATGATTTTTAGATATTTTTATTTTATTTTATATACTTTTTGTCTTTAGTTTTATAATTTATAGTTTAAATTAATCTAATTTAAAATTATATAGAAAATATTCCATCATAGCACTTTAGTTTAAGGTCTTAAGTTTAAGAGCAGCTACATTGAAGCAACCACTGAATTGTTTTATGTAATAAGGTACACAAATGTCCTGGTCCAGCGCAGGTCAGGAGGGTTTTGGGTACGAGATGAACACCAAACAGACATCTGAACACATAAACAGTGGAAACTATGATCACAGCTGCAGGAGGAACGTCAGCGTTCGGCTGAGAGCAAACTCTGCTGTACGAGTCGAGAGCCAAACATTCACATCAAAACCTGCATCCCAGTCAATAACCACCCACAATCCACTTCAAGCTGCCGCTGATTTGCATAATTCCTTCAGTTAATTGATAAAATAACACAGACATCAAACTAACAACTCAGCAGTTCAGTCACAGTGAACGCGTCTTCATCTTTCTGCAGAGCTGATCATGTTTGTGATCTCATAAAAAGCCAAAAATAAATAAAAAACACAGGGAATAACATACAAAAATGACAATTACTTCCATACTGTAAAAATATTTATATATATATATACACATTTTTATTGCTGTTAAATTGAATTATTATTTTTATTATTGTTATTATTTATTTATTTATTTAGAATGACTCCTTTATTATTTTGATTGTAATATAATAACATGTACCTCTTCTATAAAGCTGCTTTGGAACCAAAAGTACTGTGAAAAGTGCAATACAATTATTTTATTTACTTTGGCTGAGTAGTCCCTGACTAAAGTTGCCACAGCAGAATGAACCACCAACTACTCTGGCATAAGTTTTTTATGCAGCGGATATTCTTCCAGCTGCAACCCAGTACATGGAAACAAATTGAATTGAATTAAAATATATTTAAAGTGTTATACAAATAAACTTAAATTAAACAGAATTTTATTTAACCCTTTTAATTTTAACCAATGTAATACATTAAAATTAAAGAATAGATAAATAAATAAAAAATGATTATAAACAAAAACAGCGAATCTTTATTCATCTTTATGCATAGCTAATGATATTTGAAAAAATAAAATAAAAAAAATAAACAGATAATCGTGTCAAATGACAACTTCTGTGCAAAAACAAACAAGTAAACCATGGTTCGTCCATTAAGCCAGATATCAAATTTCCCGACTAATAAACTGGATTTTCATGACCAATAATGAATGTAAAAGAGGTCACTGTTTTGTGCTTTGCATAATATTAAAATGGTTTTAGCTTGAATATCATTTTGCAGAAATTAAACTAAATGTTATATTATCCTGACACGTCAGCCTTCATTAACATGTAAAGTCTGATGACTGCATTTAACTGATTATTTTATGCATAAAGTGTTACTATTTTTATTATTATTATTCTTTTACTTAATCATTTGACTGTGTTTGACTGAAGTGGCTGCAATCCAGTTTAGTTATTATTCTGTAATGTTTGCACAAATAAAATTGTACATATTCAACGCACAATGTTGCACTAATTAATCTTGAATTGTACATACCCACTGTACATTTACATTTGTAATTATGTTCATATCTGCAAACCTCTGATTATTAATAGAAACCTGTACATATATTCATCTATTGTAAATCTGTTCATAGTTAATACAACCTGTATATAATGCTCAGTTTTTCTCTAAATGCACTGTATATCTTATACCTACAAGTTAAACTTAGAATTATTTGCCCCCTCGTTTAATTTTTCTCCAATTTCTGTTAAACGGAGAGCAGATTTTTTAAAACACATTTCTAATCATAATGGTTTTAATAACTCATTTCTAATCACTGATTTATTTTATCTTTGCCATGATCACAGCATAAGTTAACTAGGCAGGTTAGGGTAATTAGGCAAGTTGCTGTATAACGATGGTTTGTTCTGTAGACTATTGAAAAAATATATTGCTTAAAGGGGCTGACAATTCTGACCTTAAAATATTTTTTTAAATGGCTTTTATTCCAACCAAATTAAAACAAATAAGACATATATCTCCAGAAGAAAAAACATTATCAGACATACTGTGACTCTGTAAAACATCATTTGGGAAATAATAAAATAATATTATTTAAAAAAATATTAATTCTGACTTCAACTGTATATCCTGCACTTGCTGCTATTTCACTCCTGGTTAGACCTAAACTGCATTCTGTTGTCTTGTACATGTGTAATGACAATAAAGTTAATGTCTAATCTAATCTAAAGTCTAATCTAATCTAAGTTGTTGAGCATGAAAGGAATTAAATACTGAAACAAACTATAGCAGGCATGAAACAATACAACGAAAAATCTGCTACAAATTAAAAGGAACAAACTAAAATTTCTGATATTCCATCACTTGGATACAAAATACAAGTTCTCTGACTTTCAATGTCTGGAATAAAATTCGATGACATTTCAGAAATTCTATGACCTGTGGAAACCCTGTCAAAACTTACATTAATGCATTTTCTTAGAAGAAACTCCAAGAAAATTTTAAATGCTTTTAAATTAAAAAAATTAATAAATAAATAAAAAAAAAAAACTGACCCCTTATTAAACTTATAGCTACATACGCCTGATAAAACTGCCCTGTTAGACACCACTTTCAAGGGTTTTGGGCAAAAACTTGGACTAAGCACAAAGAAAACTGCACAGAATAATAATAAGAAGAAGAAGAAGAAGAAGAAGAAGAAGCAGAAGAAGAAGAAGAAGAAGAAGAAGAAGAAGAAGAAGAAGAAGAAGAAGAAGACGAAGACGAAGACGAAGACGAAGACGAAAACGAAGAAGAAGAAGAAGACGAAGAAGAAGAAGAATAAGAAGACGAAGAAGACGAAGAAGAAAAAGTGGAATATTTCTAAAGTAACCCCACTTCTTAAAAAATTACTGATAAAGGATAATACAAAATAATAAAAAATAATGATAATAAAAAATAATTATTTAATAAAATAAAATAATAAGAAATATTAGAAGAAGAATCACTTTGCATTCATCCAGATGGTTTGTAATTATGTTTCTGACTAGCTTCTTTTGCATTTGTAAGTTATAAAATGTGGTGTAACTATCTGGATATTTAGAAGCATGTGATCTAATGTGGCTGTAGTTCTCACACAACTCTCTCTCTCTCTCTCTCTCTCTCTCTCTCTCTCTCTCTCTCTCTCTCTCTCTCTCTTTAATCCAAATCCCAATTCAACATTCTCTCCCCCAAGATCAAGAAATACATCTTTCAGTCTAGTCAAATTTATGTTGTTATTGGTTGATGCTGATTTAATAATTTCATATTTAATAAAATATAAACCGATATACAAATATAAACAACAATGTTAACAAAATTAAGTAGTAAACCATTTGTTTGTTTATATATATATATATTTACTAATTACAATTGAAGGTCTATTTTGGTATTATAGCAAATGACAAACAATTAAAACAAACCAACATTTGTGCACAAATCTGTTCCAACACTAAAGCAAAAAACAACACAATCTGCACATGCTTTGCATCAAACTTGTCATAGCCAACAGCCAAGCTCTTGCTTTAGCAGTGGATGTTCATTCAGAAGCATGTAAAGAAACTCTGGACTCAATAAAAGTGGCTCCTTCCAATTTAAAGGTTAAACTAGGTTAACTGGTTTAACTAGGCAAAGCAAGTTGGGTTAATTAGGCAAGGCAGTCAACAACAGTGGTTTGTTCTGTAGACAATTGAGTAATGTTATTAAGAGGGATAATAATATTAACTTAAAAGCAGTTAAATTAAACTAAACTAAACTTTAAGCTGCTTTGATTCCAGCCAAACTTACCCAAATAAAACATTATAGAAAATACTGTGAAAACTTTCCTTGCTTTGTTAAACACCACTAGGGAATATATCCTTTAACTATTTGCTTTACAAATGCACACTGATTACATTTCAAACGACACAGAATTCAAATCCAACACTAATCAAGTCCATTAGTCTGCTTTGCATTAAAACCTATCAAGGCCAACAACCAGCAAACAAACACTAGCTTTATCACATGTTCATCCAGAAGTGTGTAATGAAACGCTGGATTATTAATAAAGCACAGCTCCTACCGTCTTTCCTGTAGAGCGCAATCTCCACCTTCCTCTCCTCGGAGCCCAGCAGCGCCTGCGCCATCTGCGCGATAGCCAGCCGCTTGGTGTGTGGGCCGTACAGAAAGTTACAGGTGCAGGGCTTTTGCATGATCTCCGCCCGGGTGTAGCCGCACATGTGACAGAAGCCATCGTTACAGAAGATGATGGCGCAGTTCTCCACCCGCGCATTGGCTATGATGAACTTTCTACCTGTGTGGGAGACAGAAAATAAACTCTTATGTTATATGAATCATTATGGGCCACGTGTTGTTCAGGAGTGCAGAATATATGTGTATAATGGCTGAATAGAAAATTACCAGTAAAATAAAATAAAATATAAGAAAAACAAAAAATAATAAAAGATTAAAGATTAAAATAAAATAAATTTAACTGAATGTGAAACAAATAAAAAAATAAAATAATAATAATACCATATTAAATATTTAAATTAAATTAAAATTAAAGAAGAAAAGAAAAATACATTAAAATTATTAAATGTAAAAATGTAAAATAAAATATAAAAATAGTTGCATGAAACAAAATGAAAAAAAAACATTTATTATTATATTCATTATTATATTAATTAAATAAGACAAAAGTTAGAACAATATTATTAAATATAAAACAGACAAATAATGGCATAAAGTAAAAATGTAAAAATAATAAAATATAATTAAGTAAATAATAATAATAAAAATAACAACAATAAATGTTATTAAAAATAACTGAATTAAATAAAAAAGTTAAATGAATGTTATTTGAATGATAAAATTACATATTGCAGAATAAAATTGCATAATACATAATAAAATAAAAAAATAAACAAACATAAACTAATAATATTAATAAAAATAATAATAATAATAATAAACTTTTATTTAAATAATAAATTAAGAAAAAGTTAGAAAAATAATATTAAATATAAAATGCATGTAAAGATTTGTTAATTAAACAAATAAAGTATGCTGACATTTCATATTTCATTTCACTTAATAATAAAGACATACAGATTTGAGTTGCGTTATACATACATAATTTTCTATTCCTAATAAATAAAAAAATATTTCAAAAGACAAAATTCTAATATAAAAATAAATAAAATACAATGAAAACAATAAAATAAAATATCAAAGACAAAACTATTCAAATTTGAAAAGAAAATTAAACAAAAAGTCAAATAAAACAAAACATTTGAAAAGGTAAAACAATTAAAAATGCAAAAGTAATATAAAATAAAAAAATATATAAAAATAAAACAAAACATTTAAAAGGAAATACAATTCAAAATTAATGGAATACAATAAAAATAATATAATCAATTATTTTATGATGATGATGATGATGATGATGACAAAACATGATCATTACGTGTATTTTCAACTTGGTGTTACTGATAACCTCTAGCTTTTTTTGCAACCTAATAAACAAAACCACATACCAAAACCTAGCAAGTGTACATGTAAAAGGCATTAAACTGAAGCATCAGATCAACACATCAAACACAAAATGGTCTGACAGTAAAAGCACATTATCACAGGTGCTGCGGGACGGACACATGGGACTGACCTTCACACGACCCGTCAAATGGGACTCTGTGCCAAATCACACAGAAGGTGTTTAAATCACTAGCTGAGAGTCAGTGAGCTGAAGAGCCTCAGCAATAAGGGAGAGACGGATGACTGCTGCTAAAAACACAAGAGTCTGAAGAGCTGCACAACTCTCTTTCCTTCTGTCATCTCTCACGGGACACAAAACACTGACGACAAATCAAAACCCACAGCCAAAACCGGGAAACAGGAACGCCTTTCAGGAGAAACCGGAGTCAGCAATGTTCAATGAAATGCATGACGCTTAATTAAATTTCTAGTTAAGAGTTAATGGGTGATTTAGTCTGAGGATGCTTGAACTAGGTGGAACACGTTCAAAACGTCAAATTAATCGAGCTCATGTTTATATCCAAACCTGAAGTTGAATCTTGATGTAAACAAGATTTTTGTTAAAAAATATTTTTTAAATTCTTTATTTTTCTGTCAATCAAAATTCTGTGGCATTCTGACGCATGTATATTTACAGGAAATTCACTGGTCATTTTAATCTTTTTTTTTAACAATAAAAATATAAAACCAATGCTGATAAAAGCAATAGTATGTTGATATAGTTTTTAAACTTTTAAACAGGCTATTAAAATTTATTTCAATATTTTTATTTAGTATTTTTCAGTATTTCAGCAACTGCTGATCTACTGGGATTTTCATGCACAACCATTTCTAGGGTTTACAGAGAATGGTCTAAAAAGAGGAAATATCCAGTGAGCGGCAGTTCTGTGGACGCAAATGCCTTGTTGATGCCAGAGGTCAGAGGAGAATGGCCAGACTGGTTCCAGCTGATAGAAAGGCAACAGTAACTCAAATAAGCACTCGTTACAACCGAGCTCTGCAGAAGAGCATCTCTGAACACACAACACGTCCAACCTTGAGGCGGATGGGCTACAGCAGCAGAAGAGCACACCGGGTGCCGCTCCTGTCAGCTAAGAACAGGAAACTGAGGCTACAATTCACACAGACTCACCAAAACTGGACAATAGAAGATTGGAGAAACGTTGCTGCTCTGATGAGTCTCCATTTCTGCTCCACATTCAGATGGTCGGGTCAGAATTTGGCATCAACAACATGTAAGCATGAATCCATCCTGCCTTGTATCAGCGAATCAGGCTGGTGGTGGTGGTGTAATGGTGTGGGGGAGATTTTCTTGGCACACTTTGGGTCCATTAGTACCAATTGAGCATCAACACCACAGCCTACCTGAGTATTGTTGCTGACCGTGTCCATCCCTTTATGAGCACAGTGTCTCCATCTTCTGATGGCTACTTCCAGCAGGATAACGCACCATGTTATAAAACTTGAATCATCTCAGACTGGTTTCTTGAACATGACAATGAGTTCACTGTACTCAAATGGCCTCCACAGTCACCAGATCTCAATCCAAAAGAGCACCTTTGGGATGTGGTGGAACAGGAGATTTGCATCAAGCATGTGCACCCGCCAAATCTGCAGCAACTGTGTGATGCTATCATGACAATATGGAGCAAAATTTCTGAGGAATATTTCCAGTAGCTTGTTGAATCTCTGCCATGAAGGATTAAGGCAGTTCTGAAGGCAAAAGAGGTCCAACCTGGTACTAATAAGGTGTACCTAATAAAGTGGCCGGTGAGTATATATACAGTTATTGATTGTTGTTTCTCACATAATGATGTTTTAAAAATGAACTGCACAAGTTACAATAAAACCCAAAGCAATGCATTTTTAACTGTACACACTGAAATTTAAGTGTGGAGTTGCATATCAAGCTAGTCTCCTAAATGAAAACTAGTCACAATGGTGTTAAATGCAAGGAAGCCCATATTAAATAGGTCTCGCTCAAAGAAGGAGCCGGTGAACTGGAGATAAGGGCTTGTCAGGTGATTTTATTAGCCAGTAATGCATTGGATCTGCAGACTGCGAGTGTCATGCTTAACTGGAAATCTCCCATATTTGTAATTTCCATCCCATATTTGGGTGTCCTCGGGAAAGTAGCAGTGATAAATCTTGTTCAAGGACTGTGAGGAGAGTCGCTCGGCCCTGGACGCCCTCTTCAAACTCCACTCACCCCCGGTAATGGACTTCTGTTGTTAATGTGTCACTGAAGCAAACTCATCCGTCTCTGCATCATCTCTAGAGCGAAAGTTACAGAGCAGCGTTATGAAAACAGAGGTCGTTTACAGAAAGAAGTCTTAAAGTGTGCGATTTTAAAGTTGTTTGATTGATTCTAAAGTATTAAACAGGGTAAAACCTTGATTTTTAAGTGGCCTTCAGGAAAGCTGCATTCACAATAGCAAGAAAAGTTCAGTACAATTCCCAGCTTAAATTTGAGCACTGTTGAGTGTGTTCCTAAACACTGCTGATTTGCCATTGTGTTCTCACACCTCAAACATCCAAAAATATTGCATGATCCACCTGGTTACAAGGTTAAATTAAAAACCAGCATATGCAATATACAAGATAATCCACAGGATGCCAAGACACAAGGAAACCACTTAGAAAATGACAACAACAGCTAGACAAGACCCAGTAAAGCAAATGGTCTCTATATAGTCCGTGTGATTAATTCTGAACAGCTTCAGCTGTGTTAATGTAATCAGGGGTGATCTGCAACTGGTGTGTGTGAGGTGCCTGATTGGATATGTATAGCTCAGTGGCAGGCAGATTTGTGTTGGGTGAATGATATAGGCTGTTTCTCAATTCCAAGAACGCAGAGAACGGACTTGCGTTCTTGTGGAGACCGGTCTTGCCAGGTGTCCTCGGAAGAACGAACTCAGGAGACCGCGAGGGCAGAGAACGCATCCTTTGAGAAATGGGATGCTGCGTTCTTCCTGATGGTCACGTGACCTTCACGTGTTTTAAATGGAAATTATTTAAACATTACAGCATTCATACAACCATTTATTGTTTCCCCCCTCTTCAAAATATATACTTTGCATAAAAACATTATAAATATGCTCTGCACAATATAAATAAAACAAATTTTAATACGAATTTCAGCAAACAAACAACTCTTAATGTGTTTATTCCTATATTAAGATGTCCATGTTAATGTTAACTTTCACCGTTTAATTAAGGGAAGCTTCTGAGGTAAATAATTCATATCTCTGAACTTTAATAATTAATCTAAATTAAGTTGCTGCACTTCCCACCTCCAGTCGCAATGACTTCTGGGATTTCCAGAGCGAGTTCGGTGCTCAAGTCTGCATCGGTGCGTCCTCGATATCAAGATCACATCCGGGAAGTTTCACGCGTCCTCCGTACTTGCGGTCTTGAGTATTGAAACTGAACTTAGGCAGCCGATGATGACGTTGCACGAGAACACGAGAACGCAAGACCGCTGAAGAACGCATATTGAGAAACAGCCATATATTCCCTGTCTCTCAATTCCAAGAACGATGAGAACGAACTCATCTTCTTATGAAGACCGTTCTTGCCAAATTACCTCGGAAGAAAGAACTCGGGAGACCACAAGAACAGAGAACGCATCCTCTGAGAAATGAGATGCTGCGTTCTTCCTAATGGTCACATGAGCTTCACACATTTTTAAGAGAAACTTATTTAAACATTACAGCATTCATACATTGATTTATTGTTTTTCCCTTTTCACAATGTATACTAAAGACCTTATAA